ATACATTCTCTCAGTTTAAACTTTTGATCTGTGATTTGTGTTCTATTCTGAATAAAATATTAGATGTTGGCACCTCCACATCATTGCATTCAGTTTTTATTCACAATTTGTTTAGTGTCCCAACTTTTTTGGAATCTGGTTTGTATATATATAATATTTATATATATATTAGGGTTAGAAAAATATTTAGTTTGTCACACTAACTGTCCCCTTTGATTAAAGTTTCCTCAACCACTTGCTGACAAAAGAAAGTCTCTTGGAGCAGTGAAAAGCTTTCGGATCAGATTTAATTGAAACCTGGTGTGTAAAATTCTGGGCTCATTTCCAAGAATTCACAGAATGTGTGGAGATTTTTTTCCCTCTGCTTCCTCCATTTGCCTCTTTTTTCCCAATGTGCAGAGACGTTTTGCATCAGATCAGTGAGCTGTGCTGAGGAACAGAGAGCTGGGATTATAACGTTCAGCTGCTGGAATAACCCAAACTCATCTGGGAACAAATGATCTGAAAGACGGAGGAATCATCTTAGAAGTAAGTTCCATTTTTAAGCTTTTATAGCTTTTTATTGACAGCTGGGCATTCAGACCTTTAAAGAGGACCTCAAAGTTGTCTTGTATTTTTTAGCTGTGGTCCATGACTGTTCATGGGAACTCTTTCGATCAGTTTGTGTTTTGGGAGTAGAAGGAAAGAACGGACAGCAGAGCAGATTCAAACTTCTTTCCTTTGCTGCTCCTGGCTTCTCCAGAAGCTGCTGCATACTGTTCCACTTCGCTGCGGTTGTCACAAATATAATTTATGCTCCTTCCTTTTGCTGCTTCGAGCTTTGATCAGGATGTCAGGAAAGAAAGGGAGAGGTATAAACTTTCCCAGAAGTTGCAGGACTCTTCAGGACAAGCCTCAGCTGAGACGTCTCAAGGAAAATGGACTCTGCTGAGGACAGTGGTGTTCATACTGTGGACAAAGAAGACAGATTGTTTGAGAAGAGTTGAAGCCGTTTGCATCAAATGAGCAGCAGAAAAGGACAGCCTTGCATATTATCTGCAGCTTTAATTGTGCTTAATTTAAACGACTGTTTTAACTCTGATGGCTCCAATTCTGTGAGAAATATTGAAGTTCCAGCTCTCCGGTTCATTTTGGTTTATAGTTTGTACAACCGTCGGTGTTATGTAGGTGTTACATACAGCTGGTATGCAGGTATCCTCCTTTGGTATGTGAGTATAAGGTAGTCACACAAAGGACTCCTTTCTCCCCTGCTGAAGAGCCGTGCAGCCTTAAAGTTTGACCAGAGTGGCTCTGATCAAAGGAAATATTATTACAGGAAGCCGATCATAATTTACTTCTGCTCACTATGATTCTTAATTATTTTTCCTTTCCTTTGGGGCTTGAGGAAATCTTGTAAAAGCTGATTTTTCCTTGCAGAAATTACGGCTCATGAACTTTTACTTTCCATGACAGATACAATTATTTGGTTGTCAAGCGTTTTAGAAGAAACAATAACTTTGAGATACAGACGTCAGTATGCACAAAGTTGACCTCAAATGTCAGGGCAGCACGAGCAGCCACATCGTGCTTCATCTGAGGAGCAATAGAAACTGGAACGTGCATATTCTCACAAATCTCACTTGAATTCAGCAACTACACTAAATAAGATGCTGCAGCCATTGGAAAAATAAATCCATCATCTTTACCCGCTTCTTCCTTTTCGGGTCATGGAGGTCACTGGTGCTCATGTCCAGTCATCACTGTGCAAGAGGCAGGGGACACCCTGGACAGGTCTCCAGTCCATCACAGGGACACATAGAGACAAACAAGACAACCATTCACTCTCTCCCTCACACCTAGAGACAAAGCAGTGTGTAATTCTAGTTTGTCAGCTTCAACTCCTCTAATTTGGCTCATTTTCTTCAAAAAAGCTGCTCATCAATGTCAAACTTGGCTTCTGTTAGTCATGGCCTAATAAAACTTCAGAGCATTTCAACTCACTTTTGTCAGACAAAATATCTGGTATCTAATTATTTTACATGGTCACCCTTCCCATCTGTTTGTAGTTTACATGAGTCTGTTGTTCTAAAAGTTACAAACAAGCGCTGCGTGCGTCCAATACCTGATTAGTATCAAGCAAGCTGCTATGAACCAACTTAACACAGATACCATGTGCATGTTTTTTTACATAAGACCCAAGATATCTATTAAAGATATTATCTCATCAGTAATCTGATTAATTGACGAAATGCAAACTTTGATTACACAGAGTTTATTTTATTTTATTCATATATTTTTTTCTTTGGAAAGATGCTACTTGGGTATGGAAGGCTTTGATAGCAACGTTGCCTCTGAGTGGTTGTGTATTCAACAGCAGACCCTCAAGAGTTTTCCTTGGTTTTAAACTTACGGTACATTAATGTAGCAAAAGATGGAAAGTTTAGCAGTTTTGAGTTTTAGGTTCCACCGTTTCACTTCTGAAGTAGAAAGTATTAATCAGCATCATCAGTTGTGTTTTTCAGCAAGGACCTCAACAAATGTAATGGACTGTACTTCTACAGCACCTTTCTATCTTATCAAGATACTCAAAGCTCTTTACAACACAATCTGTGCCTCATTTACCCATTCATACAGCACTCTACTAGTTATATACAAAGATAATCTGTATAGCGACTAAGTGTATTGCCCAGGGACACTTCAACATGCGACTTTTGGTGGAATCAAACCCCCAACCCTCACATTGGAGGACGACTGCTCCAACCACTCAGCCACAGCCGCCTTGTATACATTTAATATATTGTTTTAAGTTCCTTCAAAAAAAAAATATCTGTCTGCAGTGCACATAATTAATAAAGAGGGAGTTCGTCAGGACCTGCAGATTTTCTAGAATCTAGACCAGCGCTATTCAACTAAATTACCCAGTGGGGGGCAAAGAGCTCAGGGGCCAGACATGCAGCAG